AAAAACGAAATATATAAATGTTATATTCACCGGGTTGTCTGGTGCTGGTGAAAAAAAAAAAAAAAAAAAAAAAAAAAAAAAAAAACTTTCATTAACAACTGTATCAATCTGAAATTTCATGATCCATTTTTAGTCCAGTATAGAAAAAAGTTAAAGTTTACCTAGGAGGTCTCCTGCAGTTGAACGTGATTTAGTATGATTTTTACAATGAGGGACCTCAACCAATCAGAGAGCTAGGAAATATTATACCATATAATAAAGAGCTAGGTTCACTTTATGCATAAAATGGCCCTGTTCTTGTATCAATTAATTGACTATCACCTTCCGTCCCATTTCATAAATCAAAATAAAGTAGAGACTTGGCGCTCCCATTTCCCGTAAAAAATTCTTTTTAAGAATTCAGGTATTGGAAAACGTGCTTTGTGAAAAATGCAATGTTCTTGAATTTTGCAGAAAACAGTCATATTTGACTACATTCAGCAAAGAATTAGAATATGAGCACAGCCCTCGATCCAAAAATTAAAAAATCTTTTATGATCTTACGAGACACACCTTTCATTATGTAATTGCATATTTTGGATCAAAGGTTGTGCTTATTTAAAATATTGAAAAGCATACTCCAACGTTTGGCCATTTTTAAATGAATTTACAGGATAAGGTAAAAATGACGCATTTCATGACGTCATAATGCATTGACTATGGAGTAAATTACGTCATGTTCAATAGATACACGATATCCAAGGGTCCAAGTGATAAATACTGCATTGTCAACCACAACTGATCAGTTTCGATTTTTCAGAAACTTACAGGGCCGAAAAAGGCCCTATGTGACCCTTATTCTTTGAATGTAATATCTTTGAACATAATTAAGAATGATCAAAATTAGAATAATATGATTAAAAAAAATAATCATGACTCTAGAGTCCATTAAATCACTGCCCAGCACTGATTCTGCGTTCCTGCACTTTGTTATTTATAGCCAACAAAATATGAATCATTCATAAATACTGAATGTCGTGAACAGATAGGCAGTTGTGGAGTGAATATTTTTAGATTTCAAAAACGAAACCGATAATCCAAACATACTGTTTATTCGGCCATACTCGGATCTATTGTCTATTGTTTTTGGAATTTACAAAAGCGGAAAGAGAAAAATATATTTCTGTTCAATTTCCCCTGGATTCTTTTGATACGACCATATACTATGCTAGCGAAGTAGTGTGTATCCAGTTGCCTTGTAAAGTTCTTAGAGATTCTGAACCATGAAATTTTGTTGTCAAGAGAAGTGTTGGAATATTTGAATGGAGTTCAAAGTCAAAAAAGTCAAAAATCGTTTCAGCCTATTGGTAAGAAGGGTGGTACGTGATACAGTAGGAATCACGAGGTTCTCTAAGATCGCACAGTAATACAAGTTTTCTTACCACAAAATGCACATGATGTGATTCCAGATGATAAATATTTAGAATTTTATGGCTGATGGAATGAAAAGTGACTTTTTTATCAAAAAGATAAACTTATCTATATGGTCCCTAAAGGTAATCTACCGGTCTTATCAGAGACCTTTTTTTTCATTTTGCATAAGATTTGGGGAAAAATAGTCCTTTTATATTTGAACATGAATGTATTGTTCCATGAACTGTTGTAAAGACAAAAAATTCAGATGTTGACCGAATCATAAAGCATATAAAGCAGTAAAAGAAGATGTGGGGGAGTGGGGGGATGTAATACTATACTCCTACAAGTGCCTTTTTCAACAGCTAGTTCAAAGGGGGAGAGAAGTCAGTTATATTGGATGGTGTGCTGAGGGATGTTGAATTGGGAGCGCGAGTTGAAAATGACAGCAATTCAGCAGCTTTGATTTAAGGTGGACAGAGATTGGCTAAGAGCTTAAGAACACAACCGTGTTTCATGAAAACATTTGGATACTCTTTAGTCGAGTTTCAACTAATTCCAGAGTTGTTTTTCTGGTATTAATATCTTGTATTATCATTAAAGGAACTAAACAATATAATCAGCAACACTCAGAACAAAAGGGCACCAACCGATTAGAAGGCTTGTAGAAAATAGTGATGTTCCTCTTCCTACCAACTTTGCTACCTTATGAAGAAAAAAACCTACATAAAACATTCTACCCATTTATCTGAAGAAATACTTCTCCAACCGCCCATTAGAAACAACATTGTTACCGCTCGCTGTGTCTGTGGGAAGGAGGGGGAGGGGTGTGTGAGAGGGGTTGAAGATGGAGAGATATGAGATAATGATATTGGTAAAATTATTCTGCGCTAAAGGGGACAAGTGAAGTAGCAAACTCTTGTTGTTCAAGCTGAGTGTCGGCTTGCACCTCCAAAAGATCTCATAATAGCATATCGTATATCGATGTCTTATTGCTTCTAATCTACTATGAAATATATGAAGATAACGAACAGTTTTCAGGCTCAAAAGTCCATCAAACAATACAAAATAGGAGCAGAGCAAACACGGACCTCCAAACATCAGAGGTGGGATCAGGTGCCATGGAGGAGTGAGCATCCCCTGCCGACCGGTCACACCCGCCGTGTGCTCCTTGTCATCATCGGGAAATAACGAAAAAATCCGTCGACAATTCAGTGTGTAAATAATGGCCTAACAATTCGTATGAAAAACGTTAGTCAGCATTTGACTCAATGATAAATTGTATTTAATCTACTATCATTCTTTCCAGAAAGTAACACTTTTAAATGGGTGGAACCTTTCTAAAACCTGCAATCATTCCTGTTTATATTGTTTCGGCTTTTCAAGAGCTTCGAAAACATTTAGTTAATACACATCACTCATTGACTTGATGTGATGCATATCAATGAAAACTTCCCTGAAAGTGTACAGAGACACCTATGACATTTGTACTCTATTAGACACCTAAGACTTTATAAAGGGGAAAGAAAACTAACTGATCAAAAGAAAACAACAACAACAAAAATTAGTAAATAAAAATCATAAAAAATCGTCTATCAGTTTTGTTACAAACACTCTTCAAAAATTATTATCTTAGGAATTGAACAGCCTGAGAATTATGCCTCAAAATCCTCTCCTATGCAAACAGTGCGAGCACAATGCCAGGCTTTGGTATAGAGATAGGCAAATATTGGTAGGCCCACATTACTAAGTCCAATGAGATGGGATGGATTTCCATGGTTGCTTGCTGCACATTTATGACTAGGCCATTACAGAGAATTTTCCTAGATTTTATAATTTGCACCATCAGTTGTAGAGTAGCGAGATCTAGATAAAAACCTATTAATCTGCAGTGTATGGGCATTTGCAAATGAAAAATCTTGAACATAGAAAAGATGAAAAAACAGAAAAAATTAAATGTGAAAACAGCTAAATTTAACGAATTTCAGGGTTCTATTATCATTTTTAGTGTTGCATTACGCTCAGTAAGATATTCACGTATTCTTTTTCCTCATTTCAACGACATTAAGGGATAATTAGAAAAAAATGGATATCCGCCATTTTGAATCGCCATTTTGACCTATATAACGCCATTTTCATGAAGGCCAGCATATTTTTTCAGACCCAGCATACTCAAAAAACCATGCTGGACCAAGTAATAATTATTTGCAGTTTGATGTATTTTTTCTGTAAATCGGACCAGCCTATATAATGATCTAATTCAAAACAAAAGGAAGTAGAATTTCGTAAATAAAGTAAGAAAATTTTTAGGATGATTCCAAAAATATAATTTATTTTTTGCAAGGACAGGTACATGTAATTATCAACTGAACACATTTTTAGAAGCAACAATTCAGAAGAATAAACAAATCTGATGAGAATAGAGTGAATTTGATTCCTCCAATCAAACAATTATTATCAGTGTATTTTGTCATCATAAAGAGTCAACTTACATTATATTTTATTATTGTCTTTTTTCAAAAAAGCATTTTTTTAATCTATTTCAAAATCCAGTCAGAGTTCCATTTATCATGATAGGTATACGTTATAAATTAGATCACATGAATTGTAATAAACAGTTATACGTATTATAATTATCACAATGTGTAATAGTAATTTGTTTCTCATAATTCCCTAAAAAAAAAAATTCAATGAAATTTATTGAAAAATAATATTCATTTATCTTTTTTTATTTGAAGACTACTTCCATTTTTGGCTGCAAACTATAAATACGTACTGCAATGATGGAATAACACAAAGGGAACAGAGAGACACAACATCATACAAAGGCACTATGGCGGAAGTCAGTTTTCATCCGGTAATCCTCGTCGCCTCCCATAAAGATAAGCTGGTAAGCACAGTGTGGACACTTTAATAAACCCAAATTAATTACATATGCATAAAATTGTCGTGTTATGTATCACTTTGAATGATGGTGTGTTTGTGATGTAATTTAAAACATCTTACCCTACCAAATATTGATTCCACACATTAGAACAATTATAATATAACACCTTGGTTGATTTTAAACGTATGAAATTTACTTTGATATTGAATATTGATAGGCCTTTAATGTATAAAGTTCTTTGTTCACATCATGACCCTTTGGAGGTAGGATTGGGCTACAATAGGTATTAAGCAAAACGTACCTTAGTATTGTTGATATTTTTTCTCATTTTATGAGCCTTGGAGATATAGTTGAAACAAAGTCAGTTATTTAAATTTTATATAACACGTGTACAAGAAAAATATATTATACAGAACATCAGGACTGTTTTGGTCGTATTGATTCTAAAGCATCCCAGTGTTGCATGATTTCCAATTTAATTCAATCCAAGCTCCTTTGAGGCTAAATTTGGTTAACAATGGGGGATAAAAAATCTTAAATAAAAGAGTGATAAGGGCGAGATCGCTTATATCTTTAATATTTTTCTCAGATAGCCATATGTAATGCAAATTATCAATTTTTCTAAAAGGTAAAAAAAAAAAAATATCTAGTTAATGAATATTGTAAATTTATGTTTTTCTTTTTTCTTTGGACAAGTTTAATTCTTTTCGCTGTAATTTAGCAGGGCGGTACTTTGCACACATTGGATACATTTTACAGCCAATTGGAAGCGTGTTTATCTAAAGAACAAACATTGAAAAAACTTATATCACCATACCGATATTTTGAGGTAGAGTGTCCACCAAAAGTAATGACTCATAAGCAGCAAAGCTCAGTTGACCTTGTAAAGAAATGTATCGTAGAAACTGTGCAAAAGCTGCCACAGTGGGGAGAAGAAGTTCCTTTGACTTGGTTTGAACTTGAGAAAATTCTTAATCAGAAAAAGGCAGACGGAGAAAAAGTCTTAAAGAGGCCAAATTTGATAGAAACGGCAAAAATATTGTCTATAAACGAAAATAACCTCAGTGATGTTCTCCGTTTCTTACACGAGATAGGAAAAATCATATATTTCCCTGTAGATAAACTCAAAGATACGATAATCATTAATGTTCAGTGGTTTGTTGATGCATTCAAGTACATCATAGCTGACGAAAAGCATTTTGCTCGGAAAGACAACAAAAACATATTAGTTAATACCGGAAGAATCACCGGGCAGTATATGGAAGAAGTGTGGAAAAGTATGGACAATCATAATGTACATTACTTTGACATGGATGTTACTGATGAAACTGATAAACATGATTTCTTAAGATATAAAGATGATATAATACAATACATGGACAAACTTGGCTTGATGACAAGAATTGAAAATCAAGGGGGCGTTGATGATTATGAGGAAATGTATTACATTCCGAGTATGAACCGAACAGACCTTTCTGATGACAGAAAAGATGCCATCAACCGACAACACAAATCAATAATGATGGTGTACCATTTCAGATCTTATTTACCTCATTTTTTCTTTTTCCGATTGGTGGTAAATTGTTTAAAGAAATGGAAAGTTTGTGATGATGATTCTTTTTTTAAAAATGCAGTATTATACAAAGCAGAAGATGCTGGACTTTATTTTGCCATCGCCGTTAACAAGACATCTATCCAGTTGCAAGTTTTTACATATGACGAAACAGTTAAACTGAGGGAAGAATGCATCAAAAATATCAGAAAAACAGTGGAAGACTATATAAAGGAAACGACAGAAACTTTTCACAAGGGAATTATGTATGATAGAGGTTTTTCATGCAGCGACATAAAAATCACAGAGGAGGATGAAGAATTCTTTTTTAGGGAGACTGACATTGGCCGGGAGATTGAAGAATCCAAGGATATATCTTGTCCAAGACATTTTCTTGCACAACATCACCACAAAATTGATACAGATAAAATACTGATGTGTTTGTTAAAGAGAGAATCCACTTTGTCTTCAAGGAACAACTAGAACGTGCTTGCTTTTCAGAGCAGAAAGACTTTAAAATTTATAGTTTTTATTTCATAAATTGTATATAATAATAATAATAATAATAATTATTATTATTATTTTACAAAATTAAGGACAGGTTGCCATAGTAACTATACCACGCTCAAACGAATGTTTGCATGGTTTATGTTTGTAGTATCAGATAATTTTATTTGAATGAGTTTTGATTTTCTTATGACCATGTGACCATGTGTTGCACATATTTTAAGTAACAGAGAATGGCTCTGAAGTCATATAAATAACGTATTGTGCTGTCAAATTGTAGTCTCTGAGTTTGCTAGGCTATTTTATGTGCTCTATTTACTTGCCTCCAGATATCTCATAATTTCTAAATTGACAGCAATTAGAATTTTAAAAAAAGCTACGACCTTGATTTTCTTTGGCAAAGAGTTTGGTTCGTTTATAAAAAAGAAATTATTGCATAAATTAAAGGAATTTTCTGCTTGCCCCAATTTTTGCAAAAGTATTATAAAAGCAATATTTTCTTTTATTCCTGTAAGTCTTATCTTTGCGAATTTTTCCAATTGTTTCATGGAGTTATCTATCCTTGCAGGTTTGAATATGATCATGCATTTTATATTTTATTCAGATTTATTTTTGCGATCTACAAAGAGATTTGTTTTGATATACGATAAAGTGTTGTGTTGTGGATTCGTGTGAACATAATATTTATACTCAAACTTGTTTCTGATTCACGATTGTTTGGTTTTACCTCATCTAATACTGAAATATTTATTTTCAAGCATTTCCATCATTATAAAAAAAGGCTATGGGCGATCTTAAAAGTTTAAGTCTTATTGTTTCTTATTGATTTAGAGTACTATCTATTATGACTTGAATGAATGGCTTGTGATTTTATTTTGCGTAATTCTGTATTTCATATTCTACATAACCAAGTATTACGGTGCAAAGTATAGAACATCTACTGAAGAATGTAAAATCACATTTATACACTTACTGTTGATGTGTTTGTTATACCACAAAAGATCAGATAAACTGTTTTGATTTAGAATGAAATATGAAGACAACAAACAATAACCATGCACAAAATCTAATCTTACAATACATATTGTGAGCAAAACAAACAGGAGCCTCAAGATAAAAAATAGGTGGGTTCAAGTTACATGAAAGAGTGAGCATTCCCTTATAACTAGTCTCACAATTATATGCTCCTAGTCATGATTGAGCAAACGAAGAATTCTTAGTCAAGTCAAGTTGAAGAAAAAGGCTTGACAAATCGTATGAAAGACAACAGACCACATTTGACTTTGCGATAGATTGAATTTGTACACATGGTCATTAAATCGACCATATAATTTGCGAAAGTCTTAATATCCTTGCGTCTTTAATAGCCTGATTCGTTTTCAAAATTGATCTTAAGTAGAACATTCTCTTGCATATCGAATCAAATGAGAGACATAACCCCCATATCTAGGTGATAATTGCACATTGCTACATAAATAAGGGAAGTTGACGATAGAAGAATGGTAGTCATTACGTTTATCTTAAAGTTTAGACGTTAGTTTGTCATCAATGTCTTTTTGTAGGGAAGCACCCATATATAAAAACATTTATATAAATTTAGAACCAACGATCCAGAGCAAATTGATAATCTCAGTGTATATTTCTGTATGAAATAATTACATTCAAAGCAAGATAGTAAAACACAGATAAAGCGAACAAGATCAGTTTAATCGTTATAACAAGATGATTTACATTGTCTGTAATTTTAACACTTATAGTGAACATATTGGACATGTAAAGAATCAAGATGGCTTGTCCTAGCACTCGTTATAATCACAGAAAGTGTTTTCCTGCTAAATGTCCATGCATGAGTAAAGACGAAATTTTCCATGATGTAAGGTGTTAACAATTTTACCAATTAAGCCCCTTCTTAGGGCCTGTTCCATCTACCAAGGGTAACGAATTTCATAATAACGATACCGTGTTCAATATTTATTGCAATACAGATACTTAGCATGCTAGAGTTCTGTTGTTTAGCAAGAGGATTCTATAAATTATAAATCATTTTATTAAATATGGTCAACTTTGCTAAACCCCTGATCTGAATCCTGAGCTCATGGGCTTTGACCCAGTTTATTTTTTAGGTAGTTTTCTTTATTCTTGGTTCCTGGTTCCGCACTTGCTTGTAATAGTTGGTCGAGTCTCAACCCTTGTGAGAAGGTGCTGGGGATAAAAGATATGGGTCAACAAAAATCTGAAGCAGTAGTCGTATCCACTTTCAGCCAGCAAGACACCCTTCCTCTGTAATGGTTTAGAGGTATAAGCTGACAATGACAATTGACGCCAAAAGGAAGTTGGCTATCACGTGGACTCACATGTTTTTGAGTATCACTTTTAAATGCATTTTCCTAGGAGAAAAAAAATCATGATATCTTAAAGTCTTAAAAAAAACATAAATAGGATTTACATGTATACATGTTTACGCACATGTATACATGTGTTTTAAATTACAAATAATCCTGAAGTATATATGTTTAAATTCATTTTATCATTCGAGTGTTTAAAATTGAAGGAACTAGCTCGAGCATTTCGTAATCATTTTTAACACAAATAGAGAAGCAGTAGTTTAAAAATCGAAAATATATCCATGTTAACCATGATCCCTAATATAAAAAGTAGGTTTTGTTTTGGTAAAAATGTACATTTCAACCATATATAATTAAAAAGATATAATTTGTTCACAAGCATAATAGTCTTCATACAATAACAAATGTTTGAGCAATGCATTTTGTTCGAAGATTTAGAATATAAATGGGATGTTTCTGCATGATGAACACATCAGTGATATGATATTAAACAAAATATATATACATTTTAAATGATCATTATATACAAGATACATGTATTTTGGTGAAGATAAAAAATAATTTCTCATACAAATTATTTATAAATGATACATGAGAGCATATAGGATTTGAAAATTCGGGGAAAAAATCTCCAAATATAAAATCTTGTCGTTTAACTCCGTCGTGTTGTTGTTAACCAGTTTCATGTGAATTTATGCATGGACTTCCAGAGCAGTTAGTAAGACTTTTATAGGTAGTGAGGTGGACAACTGGCCTAAACAATCGTGCGCAAAATCTGCAGTGCCATGAAACTTCCTATAAAAACGAAAGTGACGACAAAACTACGTGCGCGTCTCGGCTGCGCTTGTGCTTCATCTTCTTCTGCTGCTGCAGTGTTTGCCTGAATAAAATTAGAGAGACTGTGTTATTGTAATCACTCTGGAATCTCGGAGTTCCGTTTTCTTTTGTTTTTATTTTCCGTGTTGCATGTTATTACCTCAAACAATATTAATTATTTTCTTGATCATCACTTTTAAAAAATATTTTCAAGCTGCAATTTTCTTTAACTTTTCAAATGGACGTTTGATTTTACCAATATGTGATGAAATTTATGCATTATTATTCGACTCAGAAATATTCTGACCTTGACCACGCTACATTCTCGAAATGAGTAAATGTATTTATTGCAGGTAATCAGGTAACGTTCTTCAAATTCCAGAAAGGCCTGAAAATAATCTGTCATAAAATATTAGAATAAGATGGGTTAGGGCATTTAAATTTAGGGTCAATGGGTACTTTGAATGTTTTTAGTATTGTGTGTGACCAAGAACAAGTACTCTTGCAAGCTCAACGCACAATGTCGACGACCAGTTGCTTCCACTCTATCTCACTTATTTCTTTTTTCGTACATGAATTATTATTTATTAGAAATACAAATAATGAAAAAAAAAATAAGACTTTGTATAATCAAAACGTGATACTTATAATATAAGAGGAGTATATTAGAGCTGGCATGTACATTTTACAAATGTAAAGTTTGTACACCTACACTGGTGTATATATTGTACATAAACGTGTGAAGATCTAAACTCGTGTACAAATTGTGTACACCATAGATGAGTTTTACCTTTCGTGCAGGTAAACATTAATTTCAGTATTTAACTATACAGTAATAGGTACATGTATAGGTAAGTAGTAATAGGATAAAAAGTTTCAAGCTGTACATTTTAGATCGACAAAATGCTAGGAAATATTGAGTTTTAAGGTTCAAAATGCAAACTAAAAGGAACTTATTATTTAGCCACCTTTGTACCCTTTATTGTTGGTTATCAAAACCGTCACAAAGGTTTTTCGTATTGGCACTCCTTCTAGGTTCAGTTGGATGGTACATACTATTGTTGTTGATGTCAAACAGCATTGATACAACACTTAAATTCACATTATTGCAGAATGTTATTTTGATGGGGACTCACACAAAATTTGCTAGTCGCATGTAACATCTTTATGAGTTGCATACATGTACCTTCAGTATGTTCTTTTTCTATGATATTAAGAGATTTACGTGTAAAGATGAAACCTCTGTTTCAGCACATTTAAAGACATGTGACCGTCATCTTTTGTGTGCAAGAAAAAGTATATTTCATTGGTATTCTTGTTGGTATTCTTTTTGATGGTAATTTATCACAGACCACCAATAAAAAAAAAGTGTCACCATTTCTTATTATTTGTTTAAGCTTGGCATTATATGGCCACGGCTGGTTGCAATTCAGTTATTTAAGATACATGTGTTCAGTGCGTGCCGACTCAATTGGGTTTTGGCACACATTCAATCAAAGCAAACAACCAAATAATTAATACTAACTATACACATGTCAGTTTTACATTGTAAGAGTAGCGTTTGCTTTCCTATTTTGCGTTGCGCCAGCCTTATCATAATTTGATAAGTCAATCAATAAAAAATGATAATTATTCATCAATCAAACAATATTCAATCAATCAAGCAATATTCAATTCAATCAATCAATATCAAGTTCAATCAATCAATAAATTTATCAAATCAACTAATGAATATCCAATTAATTAAATCAATCAATCAATCAATCAATAT